AAAGTGTGAGAGAGAAAGTGTGAGAGAGAAAGTGTAAGAGAGAAAGTGTGAGAGAGAAAGTGTGAGAGAGAAAGTGTGAGAGAGAAAGTGTGAGAGAGAAAGTGTGAGAGAAAAAGTGTGAGAGAGAAAGTGTGAGAGAGAAAGTATGAGAGAGAAAGTGTTAGAGAGAAAGTGTGAGAGAGAAAGTGTGAGAGAGAAAGTGTGAGAGAGAATGTATGAGAGAGAAAGTGTTAGAGAGAAAGTGTGAGAGAGAAAGTGTGAGAGAGAAAGTGTGAGAGAGAATGTTTGAGAGAGGAAGTGTTAGAGAGAAAGTGTGTGAGAGAAAGTGCAAGTTAGAAGTGAACGAATCAATGGGATGGCATTCACACTCGAAAGTTGTTATTCATGAGTTTCATTAGTCTACGGAAAGAAGACATAAAATTTAAATTACTACTAACAAGGTTTAGGGAATTGCATTAATTTTTATTCATTTGCTTAGTTATTGTTAATGGAATCCAATGAACAAAATATAAAACTCAACATATACAGTTAATTCCACGATTAATATTGTTATTTAATTGATTATTATTCGTTATACTGCTTATGTACACCAAGCATTATTTCGTAACATTACTAAATATAATTATAATATGTGAGCAATTTTCATTCCAGCATAAACTTATCACAATTCAAAATACAAGAAATCACACAAAATGTGTATTTTAGGTAATAGGAAGGAATCATCATAAAGCAGACAAAATCGCAAATCATAGTCGATTGTAACTTGTATAAGTGAATTACGTATAGAAATAGAATTCAATGCCCTATAATGAAATTGTTTTAGCGGGAATGTTCCACATTTAAAAGTAAGTTTGTGCGATACTAATAAATCTTAACGGCGAAAAATAAGCAGCGGAATTCATTATATAAAATAAGAGTCTTGACCATTTCGCGGCCGAGCATAAAAATATATAGAAATTGGAATGTTATCGGAAAAAAATTGCAGATGAAAATTTCATAATAAGCGGTCGCTACGCTAAAAGAAATTAAAATTTTCTTATTATTCGAATAATATGCAAAGGAATACTATCAAGCTGCAATTTTATTTAAATTTCTTCAGTTACTTTAAATTAACTAAATTGGTATTGCTTCTTCTGGCTTGTTAAAAAATGCAGAAAAAGCGAGAATTTCATTGTGTGAGTTGAAACTTAAATTTAAACGATCATATTATCATTCCTAGACATGACAGGGGGTGAAGCAATGCATGGATGTATGGGCAGATGATTGAATATTGGCAAAGCCAGGATAACTTTGATTAGTCTTAAACCTAAAGTGATACAGTTTTACACTTTACAAAGGTACACTAAAGTGATAAGCTGAGCTTTTTGAGAAGAGATTTCAAGTGACCATATATGGTAACTTGACCGTGAAAGAGTTAGTTACGAGGTACATATAAAGATAACAACTTTAAAGTCTTCATGGGAGTGATTTCTAACTCTCCATATCGCATTTTTCTACGATGCCTTGAGCGAGAGCAGCGCAAACGTAGCAAATTAGTAAGTGGGATTAAGCTCAATTAAGGCACGTAGGAGTAGGAGAGGTGTAAGTAGGTTATAAAGATCAAGGCGCATATGAGTAGGAGAGGTGTAAGTATTACTGAGCTCACGGCACGTAGGAGTAGGAGAGAAGGAAGTAGGTTACTGAGTTCAAGGCGCGTAGGAGTAGGAGAGAAGTAAGTAGGTTACTGAGTTCAAGGCACGTAGGAGTAGGAGAGAAGTAAGTAGGTTACTGAGTTCAAGGCACGTAGGAGTAGGAGAGAAGTAAGTAGGTTACTGAGCTCAAGGCCCGTAGGAGTAGGAGAGAACTAAGTAGGTTACTGAGCTCAAGGCACGTAGGAGTAGGAGAGAAGTAAGTAGGTTACTGAGCTCAAGGCGCGTAGGAGTAGGAGATAAGTAAGTAGGTTACTGAGCTCAAGGCACGTAGGAGTAGGAGCTGTCTCTTATACACATCTAGATGTGTATAAGAGACAGAAATATAGCTTCTAGATGGTGCTATACACATTGCATCTATATATGGTGCTAAAAATATGGTCTCTATATGGCGCTAAAATATTGCTTCTATATGGTGCTGATAATATGGTCCCTATATGGTGCTGAAAATATAATTTCTATATCGTGCTATGGATATTGCCTTTATATGNGTGGGGGGCAAAGGTAAGGTGGGTGAAGTGGGGGGCAAGCGTGGGCGGGGAGGAAGGTGGGTGAAGTGGTGGAAGGTGGAATAAGAGGGAGGTGGGATAGGGGAGCCGTAAGACAAGGGGAGGTGGGTGAAGTTATGGGGAGGAGGGGGAGGGGCAACGCAGTATCACCCGTGAGTGTTGATCAAGTGTCTCAGGGGGCGAGAAATGTTAGTACTGGTAAGTTGGGTGTAGCCGATTTTTAAATTCCGAATTTCTCCCAATTTCCAGCTGAACATTTTTCTGATTGGAAGGTAATAAGTTTGTGAGTTTAATATTTTCGTTAAAGTAGCAAACGTTTAATATTGTTATCTTATTATCGACACGTCAGAGAGAAGATAATCCCAAAATGTCACTCAGTGGCGGTGAATATGTCACTGAGTGCAAGGAAGTGTTATAGGATTAGAGAAGAAGTGTACCGGAGTGTCAGGAATTGTCAAAAGAATGGGTGAGTGTCACAGAGAAAGTATTGCGTGGCATATAAGAGTGTGGTACGTTAATAAATTAATAATATACGTGGTATATTATGAGTTGGGTTTTAAAGAGGTTGGGAAGTTCCAAAGAGAGAGGAAAGTGGACACTGAAAGAGAGGAAAGAGGATGGAATGGAAGTGCAGAACATGGGGAGTAGAAGACTCTGAGCAAACAGAAGTGTTACAGAGTGTCGGAGTGTCACAGGGTGTTGGGGTGACACAGGGTGTTGGGGTGTTACGGAGTTTTGGGTGTCACAGAGTGTTGGGGTGTTACAGAGTTTTGGGTGTTACAGAGTGTTGGGGTGTTGCAGGGTGTTGGGGTGTTGCAGGGGTTGAGGTGTTGTAGGGGTTGGGGTATCACGCAGTCACGTTGGACTGCAGCAAAACGAAAAAACACAATAATCAAAGTTAAAGAGCTGTGCATTTGATTATTTTATGCCACGTGGCATCTAAGTATCTCCTAAAAATGTTTTAACTACGCCACAAAATTGTCGCTACTCTCAATAGCTGCGGCGACAGACCAGAAATGCCGTCGTCCGCATAGCCAGAGATGCCACGTGGTGATAGTATTGCAGGTCTTGCAATATTGCTAAGATTTTGCAAAAAGTCGAAAGATTTGTTTTCAAAGCCGGTAATTCTTGTATAATTAATGGTGCTAGTACGCGGGGCCAATAGTCCAACTTTTTCCTGCGTTTAATTATTGAGCTACTGGCCCCGTGTAGAGAGTTACTGGGTCCTTACGAGGCCAGTAGCGCCTATACACGAGGCCAATATAGCAACAGATAATGGCGGTAAGTAATGATGGATGTACCGGCGGCTAGCAGAAGTGTACTAACTTTAGTGATACTGCAAACACATAGCCTTAGGCTGGGCCAATTAAACGTTGCCATAAGCCACAAGCGTCGCCATAAGCCACAAGTGTCGCCATAAGCCACAAGCGTCGCCATAAGCCACAAGTGTCGCCATAAGCCACAAGCGTCGCCATAAGCCACAAGCGTCGCCATAAGCCACAAGCGTCGCCATAAGCCACAAGCGTCGCCATAAGCCACAAGTGTCGCCATAAGCCACAAGCTGTGTTGTGTTGTGGTGTGGTGTGGTGTGGTAGTGTGGTGGCTTAAAATCAAAATTTAAAACGAATATAAATTGGATGTAATATGCTAAATTTTACCATTAATCATGATTAAATTAAGGAAAATTTCGTCCTGTTAAGAGATTATAAAATTTGACAACTTTCCGATAAAAATATTTAGATTGCCTCGAGAATTACTGTATAATAACAGAATCTGTTTATTGTTCCCCAGACATCGCTGAGTACAGCCTCACCCCATCCGGTGAGTGATCATCGCCCCACGTTACTCATGTATTATTCATTAATTAAATTCAGAGTTAATGCTTTTAAAGTTTAATCTGTTATACATTCATAGTATTCAGCACACTTTCATTTGAAAATAGTAAGTTTTTGATGCAAATTATTGTTCATGACAACAGAGAGAGAGAGAGAGAGAGAGAGAGAGAAAGACTACTCAAGTTAGAGTATTTTTGCTCTATTGGAACTTGGTATAAAGTCATTTGTTCATCGTTATATATTTATTCATTGTCATAAATTCGTTTTACGGTTCCCATAATTTTTAGTTCCCACTTCTAAGTTATTATTAATTTTTTTATATTTATTATTGATCAAGACATTTGTCTTTTGTTTGCTGCATCCAGTCTGCAGTACAGCTATTAAATGGAGTTGGCTGAGATATTTCCAGCAGAATTTTTTAGTCATTCAACCATTCTGTTTAATTAAAGGCGATAAGATGAGTTTATGAATTCTATGGTGGACTATTTCTATTCCTATACTTCTATTACACCGATAATAAATAGTGTCTCTAAGATAAAACTATCGCTACAAATGTCATTAGCGGTTGAATTTGTTACGGAAAACTCGGAAGCTCGGAACTAAGCGACCTTATTTAGAATTTCATGGCACGAGGAGTTCAATATAGTTAAAAGCATATATGAGAATATATATCTAGCATATAAATCATTCAGTTCCAGGTTCGCCATAACATGTAAAAATGTAATGATTTTATAAAGGAAGTGCACGTTTGCATTTACGCGCATTGTAGTAAAAATTACTACATTTAAAAATGTAGTAATTTTACGTGCACTTTTTTCACATGTACGTTCTAAAACGTGCGTATATGGAGCGTGTGTGGAAATTCAAGCGTATCGTTGATTTTCGCATCGTAATCGCGAGGTGTGTTTGTGAGGGATGTTTGCATGGTTGTTTGTGAGGAAGTTAGTGAGGAGTTCCCACCTCCCCTCACCCGTTGTGAGGGTCGTGAGGGCAGTGTTTGTGAGCTGGCGTACAGATCGTGCTGTCAATTACGCAGCGCTGGCGTTCACGAGGTCATCGGCGTACGCATCGCTCACATGACGCCGACTCTGGGGCCAAAATACGCGGTAAAATAAACTTTTTTATCGCGTTTTTTTTTATCTTCTGAAAAGAGAGTTCCTAGATTGTGTAGTAACGCATTTTACAGCAGTCCGGGGCTCTGGCACAAAATTGATAAAATAAGTTACACATTTCAAACTAAAAATGACGATTCTAAATCGTGGGGAAGTAAAGATATTGTAAGAGTTTGTTGGATAACTTGATTTATTTTGAAGATAATATTGATAATAATTGTCTGAAAATAATAAGGGTGGTAGTATTGAGATGCAGCATATTATAGTGAATAGGAGTGGAAACGGAACAAAAATGGCAGGTGGAAAGTTAGTGAATGAAAAGAAGAAAAGTGAGAATGAAGGAGACACAGAAAGAAATATGCAAGCACGGGTTAATAGAGAAACTGTATAAAACATTTTGTGAATGAGAGGGTGATAGTGTGGGTGGGGTGAGAGTAGTGTGTGAAAGTGAGAGTGAGAGGGTGAATGAGAGTGCGGAGAGAGTGAGAGAAATGGATGATAATGAAGGTGATGATGAAAAAAAGGTGTTCTTGAGACGCAGGTGAAAGTATATGTGTTGGTGACCGCAAAAATGATGTCTCTTTGTTCGGATGTTTGTTCAGAAAGAAAACTTGTCCAACGTTTGTAACGGTTTCTGAAAATAAGAATAAAATAATAGAACACGATAATGAAAAATAATTTAATTTGTGAATACTATAGAACAAAATAATCAAAGTGTACACAGAGAAAATTAATTATAATAACGTAACCAATTGCTGAAGAATCTATGGTAAATTCCGGTTAAGAAATGCCTTGCTGAATAATCTACGGTGAATTCGGTTAAGAAATGACTTGCTGAATAATCTACGGTGAATTCGGTTAAGAAATGACTTGCTGAATAATCTACGGTGAATTCGGTTAAGAAATGACTTGCTGAATAATCTACGGTGAATTCGGTTAAGAAATGACTTGCTGAATAATCTACGGTGAATTCGGTTAAGAAATGACTTGCTGAATAATCTACGGTGAATTCGGTTAAGAAATGACTTGCTGAATAATCTACGGTGAATTCGGTTAAGAAATGACTTGCTGAATAATCTACGGTGAATTCGGTTAAGAAATGACTTGCTGAATAATCTACGGTGAATTCGGTTAAGAAATGACTTGCTGAATAATCTACGGTGAATTCGGT